TCCCAGCTAGCTAATTTTTTTTTTTTTTTTAAACAATTTACCAACGCATTTCTCCTTTTAACTCTGTTTGGCAACTCCCAGCCAGGGTACAAGAAGAAAGAAAAAAAAAGGAAGTCCCTCTACATTTGCGAGTGAGCATAGGGAGAGGTTAACAGAACGGTTGCTAACGAGGAAGTGACGACATCACCCTGTTTCTTTGCCCTACACCTTGCTGCCCCCACCCCCGGATGAACACAAAAACCCAACATGTGCGAACGGCTGTACAGAAAAATAAAAGAACTGGAGTGCGAGTCGAATCTGTACCTATCAAACAACAAGGCGCTATTCGAGAGTATATACCAGCTGCTGAGGGAAGGGGTGCCCTCAATCCCAAGCGCCTGCTATGTTGACGACAAGGTGGCGGACAGAGAAACCAACCGATATGTGTTGACCAAGTATATATACGACGCGGATGACATTATCTACAAAGTGGAAGCACACTCGAAGGTAACCCTAGAGAAGGAAACAAACTTAACGGGAAAATTATTGGACGAAGAATACTTAACAGATAACGAAGTGGAGGATATACACAAAGGAGACAACTACAACGTCCTGGACTCAGTACAAATATACGTGGCACATAACCATTTCGAGCATGTATGGAATGAGCATACCATGCAGTATTTTCTGAGCTGTTATCACGATGAGCAGAATTTAAAAATACACACACACTTACTAGAAAAGGAGGAATTTGGCTATGACATACAAATTGAGTTATTTGAAGTGCCAAGGACTCCAGAGAAGATGCTACTCGTGGCAAGTCATTTGTCAAAAATACGAGAAGCTTTACAGTGTGGCCCGTTTATGCATTTCTTCCTGTCGAAGACACATGTACAGGAAAATTCTTTCGCTAAATTTATAATTAGACGTAATGAAGTCATATATCTGCTCAAGAAAAACGACTACGTTTTGGTGATTCTGTCTGTGCACTACGTCGATATGCATGACCGCTGTATCGTCCTGGGGGTGTGCAAAAACATCCATGCAACGACAAAGTCGATGGATTTGCATGGACACCTGGACTTTTCCTTTTATGCTGACTTCCCGGCTCACCTGGTGACCTCCGAGTTGTTCGTCTACGAGGGCGGAGACGATGACGGCGACGAAGGGGACTGCCGCAATTATGACCCGTGCAGGGGGGGAAGCGGACACGCGGATAGGGGAGAAGCTGGTGAGGGTGGCGAGGGTGGCGGTTCCAACGTGGCAAACTTGGCCAACTTAGCCGACTTGGCTGCTCCACCGGATCGTGGACCCCCACCTCGGTGCAGCGCCCAGGCACAAACCACTGCCCCCAACGTCGGGTTCGTGGCCATCAAAATGGACGCCAAGTTGTTCACCGGGTGTAAGGACTTCTCCGAGCTGATCCATATATCCAGTAGAGTCTCCCACATTATTGTGTCCTTCCGAGATTTCCTCAACAACGCCGTGGTGCTCTACCGAATGCGGCGCCGGAGGGCCATCTAACGGAGGAGGGGCGAGACACATGAAACGTTGCGGGATATATGCCCTATGAAATAGCGTTACTTTTTTCTCCTTCTATTTAAATCGCTGTGCGGGTGAGGTTTGTAAATGCCTTCTTAACCAATCTGATGTGAAGCGACGCTCGTTGCTAATCTGAAGTGTCAATTGTGGGGAGGTGGTATCTCTCTCTACCGCGCATTGAACCGTTTCGTTTGCCTGTGACGCTCTTTCTTTAGTATTTAAATGTATTTGAGGCCTAGCCAAGACTGCCGCAGCCTCCACCCCCCGCTTCCCATCGAAATGGTAATTCGCCAGGTTTGTTTAGCCGCAATTGAGAGAGTGGCAACGTGGTTAATATTGCGCTTCCCTTTCTCTCCTTTGCCAGCCAGCACCCCTTATTTTGTTTCCTTTTTGTATTTTCTCCCTTTTGGCCTCTTAACAGTAGAAAAAAAAAATGGAGCATATGCACATGCACATCCATATGTACTTAACCTATATGTAGCACCCCTGTTGTGCCCCTTCAAACTCCTATCGCGTGGGATGCAGTGGGACAAACGTCGGTATATATCATGGGAGGAAGATGCCCGTCCGCATGCACAGGTGCAAAGTCTCAGGGGTGAAGAGGGACCACTTAGTGGAGAGTGCGAATTATGACGACCATCTAAGAGTACTCTCTCCGTTAATTACCCCCTCCTGTACGGTGAAGCAATACCATGCGAGTTACACTTCTGTATGAGGAACCCTTCCTCCTTCTTCTTCTTCCTGCTGCTGCTCCTGCTGCCCCTTTAAAACGAGCGCAACGGCACCGCTTCTCCGCACGATGGACTTATCTTCCCAGCTATGGAAATTCTGCAAATAGCTAGCTGGAATGTGAACGGGTGGAAGAGGAGCTGTGAGCTAATAAAACACAGAGAAGTTACAGTGGCCCAATTTTTGAGCAAACTCAACATTGACATCCTATGTTTACAAGAAACTAAAACGAACGACTCGACTATTGAGAATGAGTTCCGCTTGTTAGACGCATATTCGGATGAATACGAGACCTACTGGACGTGTTGCAAGAAGAAGGGTGGAGAAAAGATACAGAGAGGGTACTCTGGCCTTGCTACTTACGTGGGACATAAGGCGAAAATCATTTGTTGCTGTAGTGATCCCTTCCGGAACTTTTTCTTTTCCGTGGATGGCTTTTCGGATGAGGACCTCCTGGTCTCGAGGTGCTTCCCTCGGGACAACTCGTCCGTGTCCTTTTACGCGCTGCCACGAGGTAGCGGCCATATTAGCGGTGTGGTTAGCAACCAGACAGCGGGCCAGACAGCGGGCCAGACAGCGGGCCAAATCCGCCCCGCTGGCGCCCCCCTGCAGTCAGTGAGCGATCTATTCAATGAAGGCAGAGTACTCATTACAATCCATAACCAGTTCGTCCTCGTCAATGTGTATGCGCCCTACTCTGGGTGCGACTACAACCGCCTGGACTACAAAATGAGATTTCTCCATGCCGTTCGAAGCAAGCTCCTTGAGCTGAGAATAACGACAGGTCTGCCAATCATCCTCGTGGGAGACCTAAACATATCCTTCCGAAACAGAGATGTCCATTACCTGAACAATGTAGTAAATCTAGATGAGCTACAAAAAGAGATAAACAAGGTCAGCATACGGGAGGACCTAAAACAGAGGATATGCAAGCAGATACCTCTCATCATCGAGACACTGAACAATCGGGACAATTTCGTCATTAAGAAGGTTAAAGGAGAAAATAGTGAGTCGTTCCGACTGTACTTAAATTTTAACGGGGAAGTCAAAAGGGTCGGTACAAAATTTACTTCGATGGAGGAAATTTATTTTTTCTTTTCATTGGACCCGGTTTTCGTGGAAGACAAGTACGCGGGGGTGTACCCGAACGACTTTTTCTTCTTCCTCCAGGAACCAGGGGGGGACATCCAAGGTGGGGACGTCAGAAGTGGGGACGACGAAGAAGGGGACAACCAACGAAGGGACAATGAAGAATGGGATAAGGAAGGAATTTTCCACAAGGGAAATGACCACCCAGGAGACCCGCTCCACCGATCGGAGACCCATCACGGCAACCACGAGGAGCGCGACGTGTACGATTCCTTCGCCGAGGAAAGCGAACAGATTTGCTCTCACCTCAGGAAGGAGGAAGCTGCCCCAATAGAGGATTACCTTCTCCACAGGGGACGAAAAAACGTTAAGTGTAATCTGAAGAAGATTGCTACCCATGGAGAGTGCAGAACGATCCTGTGTAGGTATTCCTTCCAGAGTTGCATCGATGGAAAATACAACGTTAAGAAGGCCAACACTCTCTACTTAAAGCACTTAAATGATATCCTCATCTCCTTAGGAACGTTCCTTTCGAGGGAGGATTTACTAAATGTCGCCAACGCCGTTGGACATTCTTCCTCCCCCGAGTGCTGCACCAACTTTATGAAGAATCTAATCTGTGAGGATAGGATGGTAGATACGTTCTCCTTTTTTTATCCGTTCCTTAACGGTAAGTTCACGTGTTGGGACGCGTCTAAACAGCACCGGATGAGCAATGAGGGCTCGCGCATCGATTACATTTTGGTGGACTTTGTTCTGTATGCGCGTCTGATAAAGGGGCATTCCCACTTGTACGCATCCCCGGTGATTTTAACGGACGAGCTTAGGGAGTGGCTCCGCCGGGGGGGTGGCCCCAGCGAGGCGGCCCGTGACGAAGCAAACAATGGCGTGGTAACGGATGATGCCCCGAATAATGCCGCAGAGACTAGTAACGCCGCTAACACGGGTAACAGCGTTGACAATGATAAGGCCGCTGACAATGATAAGGCCGCTGACACTGGTAACGCCGTTGACACTGGTAACGCCGCTAACACTGATAACGCCGCTAACACTGATAACGCCGCTCACCCCCGCGAGCGAAGCTACCTATGGGTGAATTCCCCTGAGAACAACTGCAACTATGCCAACTACTTCAATCGGCTGAGAAAAAAAGCGGGCAGGATTCCCACGGAGGAAGAAGCGCTAAGCGGAGACGAAGAAGACATTTACCACTTCCAATTTAAGCTCCGAAGTTACATCGGTTTTATATACACCTCACCGAGGCTAAGCGACCACATAGCAGTTAACTGTACCTTCTTGACCAAGGCAAAGTCAGGAGGGGAAGAGAAAAGAAAACAAATACCCATATGTTTTTCTGGAGAAGCTACCATACCTCTGCGCAGCTTCTGCTCCTCAGCTGAGCAGTATGCTTCCTTTTTGCCTCTCTACTTGATTGACACTCCGCTTTTTTCTGGATACGCCTTCAAATTCTTACACCCCCTTCATGCGCATGGCGGCACGTGTCCCAGCGTCGCGCGGGCGCAGCCCCATAAGAAGACGAGCAAGATAACGCAGTATTTTAGCATAAAAAGGGGCAAACGTTAGGATGGCTTCTGCGAGGAGCGGGGTGCTGATCGGGGGGGGCGTGTACGTCGGGGTGATGCCACGTAGCAACGGCTTAGCAACCTCTTAGCGACCACTTCCCCCCATCATGCGAACCAAATGAAAGAGAAAAAAAAAAAAATTCAAGTGCAAAGCTGTGGCGAAAAGAAACTTAAGCGACGCTGAAAGCACTAGGACTTTTTTTCACCGCTCTACATTTTTGAGACGAGCACATTATATGACTACCTCTGCACGCTGCCTCGGTGCAGCAGGTCGTCCTCATGAGGCACATGTTCCTTTTTTTTTTTTACGTCCCCCGTGGTGGAACAGAAGCGAAAACGAGGTGAGAACACGGTGAAGATACGGTCAGAACGACGTAGGTAAGGGAACCCCACTGGTCATTGCACACGCAGGTTGGCAACACCTCAAAGGGGAGACGGGTGGAAAAATAATGAAAGAGGTGGAAAAGAAGAAGCGCAACGGGTTTTACCAGCTGAACCAACTACATGAACTGTGTAAGCGTCGTAAACCGTGTGAATCGCGTAAAGGGAGTAAAGTGCACGAAAGAAACGCGCCACCCCACGCAACACACCCACAAGTGAGCAAACACAGCCAGGGAGTAACAGGTCAGGCTCGAAGTCGGGCTGGAAATCACACTGGAAGTTGCACCTTTCACAACAAAGTGACCTTTTTGGAGGGCCAGCCGACCTTCCCCCACGTTTCCCCCTCAACTGGAAAGCAACTGTGTTTGCAGAGAGCGCTCTTCTCCTCATGTGCGCGTGCGAGGTTTAGAGATTACACCGAATTAACGAAGGAAGAAGTGAACGACTTGGTGTGTCACTGAAGCGACCAAGGGAAACGCGACGAAGGGAAACGCTACGAAGGGAAACGCTACGAAGGGAAACGCTACGAATAGAAACAGGAGGAAGAAAAACGCGACGAAGGAGGGTCACCATGATTTTATACCTCTCTGCCGTGGCCCTTCTTGCCATAATTTCCGGCGTGGGCGGACTTTCGAAGACCTACCACCTCAAGTATGTCGTGCCAGGTAGGAACATCCTTTCCCCGTGCGATTCTTTCTGTTTCCTAAGTGGGGGGGGCATTCCCGCTCGGGTGAGGGCACTCATGCTAACTTCTCAAGAGGCAGGAGGAACCATTCCTGTGCGAATGGCACTCCGTTTACCGCCCTACATTGGTGTGCACATCGGCACACACCCGAAGGAGAAAGAAGCTGAATAGGAGGCCCCCCGCTTGGAGATGTATGCCGTGTTGGACGCGGCGGAGAGGCTGATGGCAGTAATGTGTTACAGCGGGGATGGGCTTCCCCCCCACCCGTGCCAAGAAGCTGAGGTGTAGCTATATTTGGTGATGTTCCCCTTTTCCCAATCACCCCTTTTGCCTTTTTTTTTTTTTTTTTTGGAAGGATTTATCTCCACGGAGGTTGTTAAAGGGGCACACGTCCAGGGCAGAGGTGAGTGCGTTGTGTGCTCTTCGCCACGTAACCACGTCTGCATCGTCGCGTCGCCACCTCTTCTTCTCTTCCTTACCACCTCTCCTTCACTTCTTCACCTCTTCACTTGTTCCCCCTCGCAGGGCGGGCCAAGCTCCGCAGCAGCGCGCAAAGCTACGGGTACAGTGAGCAGCGCTACGGCTACAATGGGAGCGGTTCGCTGGACGACAAGATCGACCTCCTGCGCGAGAGAGTTAAAGCAAGAAATAAAGAAGAGCCAGAATTCCTTCAGGCATTCGAAGAAGTCCTAGTGTCACTGATGCCCTTATTCAAAAGGAACAATGTCTACCTGGGGGTACTGGAAAACATTGCTGAGCCAGAGAGAGTAATCCAGTTTCGAGTCCCATGGGTAGATGACAAAGGAGAGCATAGAATGAATCGAGGCTTTCGAATTCAATACAGTTCTGTGTTAGGACCATACAAAGGAGGTCTCCGTTTCCATCCCAGTGTCAATTTAAGCATAATGAAATTTCTAGGGTTCGAGCAGATATTTAAAAACAGCTTGACGACGCTACCTATGGGTGGTGGGAAAGGTGGCTCCGACTTTGATCCGAAAGGGAAGTCTCCAAATGAGATCCTCTCATTTTGCCAATCGTTTATGACGAACCTGTTTAGGCATATTGGCCCGAATACGGATGTCCCCGCAGGAGATATCGGTGTCGGAGGAAGAGAAATTGGGTACCTCTTTGGACAATACAGAAAGTTAAGAAATTCTTTTGAAGGAGTCTTAACAGGGAAGAATATCAAATGGGGTGGAAGTAACATCAGGACGGAAGCTACTGGGTATGGGGCAGTCTATTTCGCAGAAAATGCACTCGCTAAGAGGAATGAAAATTTAAAAGACAAACGTTGTGTTGTCAGTGGAAGTGGAAACGTCGCGCAGTACTTAGTGGAGAAGCTTCTTCACAAAGGGGCAATCGTCTTAACTATGAGTGACAGCGATGGGTACATCTTAGAAGAGGGTGGGTTCACCAAAGAGCAGCTAGCTTATGTGATGGAATTAAAAAATGTCAAGAGGGGAAGACTCAAAGAATATGCAGAATGGTCCCCTACCTGCAAATACGTTGAGAAAGGGAAACCCTGGGAGGTCCCATGCGATCTTGCCTTCCCTTGTGCCACTCAGAATGAGATTAATCAAAGTGATGCTGACCTGTTAATAAAGAACCAATGTAAGATGATCATCGAGGGGGCTAATATGCCTACCCACATTGACGCCATGCGCTTATTCAAGAAGAACGGAGTTGTGATCTGCCCCTCCAAAGCTGCCAATGCTGGGGGGGTGGCTGTCAGTGGACTGGAAATGAGCCAGAACTCGATGCGGCTGCAGTGGACCGCGGAGGAAACGGACCGGAAGCTACAAGCCATCATGAGGAGCATTTACGAGCAGTGCGACGGCGCGTCCAGGCTTTACCTCGGCGAGTCTGACCTCGTCGCGGGCGCCAACATCGCGGGCTTCCTGAAGGTGGCCGACTCGTTCCTCCAGCAGGGTGGTCTCTAAGTCATTAGCGTATAGCAGTAGCGGTTAGGATTACCGGCAATGCGGCTAAGTACCACGCGGCTAAGCACCACGCGGCTAAGCGATAAACGATGCACAATAAACGCTAAAGATTAATCCTAATCGGTGACCAGTTTGTGTGTTTATCGTTGCCGCCCCCCCGCGCCGTTTCTCAATTTACCCCTCTCTTATTTGTCCCAAACGGGAGACGCACCTTTTTGCTCCCCACCCATGTTCACCTCTCTATGAGTAAAACGTTTTAATTTCCCCCAAAGGACTCTTCTGAGGGGAGCTCCTCAGTTGGACTTAATTTCATTCAAACGGAGCTGTGGCAAATGGGAAAAAATTGAAACGATTAGTAGGTGAAGCGATTACTAGGCAGTGCCCATTGGAGTCGCCCTCTACAGGGACTGGGCTGCGCTGCGCATAATCGACAGGGGGGTCCCCCTCCACATGGAGGTCTTCCTCCCCGGGGACGAAGCGAGCAAGTGTACGTTCCACGTTGCTTCTCTCCCCCCACCATAGGAAAGTGCCATTGTTGGAAAGGACCATTTTACACACCTTCAATGACGTATCATAGGTGAGATTATGCCTCCCACGTCTTCTTTTTTTTTTCTTTTTTTTCTCCTTTCCTCTGTGTGCTCTTTCACGCGGTGTGCTACAGAGGAGTGGAGAAAATGACGTTGTGGGAGACGTGCGGGCATGAGTAAAAAAAAAAAAAGGGAAGAGAAGGAAAGAGAGGCGAATGGAACGAGGCCCACGAAATGAGGAGACCCACACATCACACACACACACATAGTTATACGTACACGGCATAGGGGCTTGGGGGGGAACAAGTCCTCAGAAAGACGCTGTGAATATCTGCGGGCGCCGCGCATGTGCGCGCGCGGGTAGATGCCTTGAGCGCCATATCCCTGGGAATCCCATCTAGCCATGGAGAACACTTTGGTTATACAGTCCGCGCAGAGAGAAGTTTGCATCAAATGGATAGAAATCTCGCCACTGCTTCACACAGATTGGCTTTCTCCTTCTTCTTCTCCTCCAACTCCACTGCACGATTACTTCCCACACCTTCGGGAGGACTTGTCCAAAAGGAAAAAAAAAAAAAAAAAAATAGAGGGAGAAGTCCAGCTCGGAAAGGAACTCTCCCCCGGACACACATCAGAAAGTAAAAATGGAAAAGGCGAATTTCCAACCGAGAGGTGGTTAATTTACCTCAACTGGCTATCATCCAAAGGTGGCGCATTTCCCCTGTATTTAGCCGAGCGGTACATGCTGCATCATATGGAAACGCCTCCGCTTTGTCCTCCTCCCCGTCGTAGTAGCGTTAACCGGACAAAGAGGCATATTAATTTGGTGAGTAGCATCTCCACAGGTAGACTACTCTAGCCATCAGGCACACATCCAACAAAGAGACAGAGACAGGCACGATGATCTTCAAGCCGAACGGAGAGCATATGTTTAGTAGAACGAACGGTCTGATCACCCAGTCAAACCAAGACGTTACAGCGGAGGAGCTGTTCCTAACGAAGAATATCTTTCAAGATGTGCAACGGAAGGTGACTGGTGGGCCTATCAAAACGACGACGATCGAGAAGGTGACGAAGATCCCGAAAGTGGTCTTCAGAGAAAGGTTAAAGGATAAAGTGGTCAAGGAAAAGAAGGTTGTCACGAAAGAAGTGGAGATAGAACAAATCATAGATGTCATCGAAAAGAAGGACGAAATAATTTATAACGAAGTGAAGGTACCGACATATATTGACGTACCTATAGTACATCCAAGGCAGGAGGTATATCACACTGAGATTTTCAAAAATGTCCCTAAGGGGGTCGAACTCTTAGTAACGCAGAAGCTTGAAGTGCCAAAGATCAAACCCAAATATGTCGAAGTCCAGGTCCCCATTTATGTCCCCTGCTATATAGAAGTACCCATACCAGCTCAATATATTCCCATCCCGAAAGGAGAAAAGAAGGACCATTTTACATGCGGAATAAATAAGGAACAAAAATTCTATTATGAAAATCCTATGATTTATAATAACCCTCTCATGCGTAGTGCGCTGCAGGCAGAGACCACCCAGGGATGCTTCAATCATCATCCGAACTTAAATGGAAAATGCCCCGTCGATGGGGAGGGTAAGAAGTGGGAGGACGACAAGTCGGAGCACAACAAATCGGAGGCGATTCACTCGTCCAAAAGCTCCGTGCAAAACTGGGCCGTGGAACAAGCTGGCCTAGATAATCTCATCGCCGCGGGGGCGCAATGAATAGTAGGGGATGGGGGAGACTTCACCTCGGAGTGGTCACCACGATCCGTTTAAGGAAACCATTACCCACACACACATACAACCTCCTTAAGCCACACACGTCCTATTAAGGCAGTTGCACCTCACTTTTACCTTTTTTCCTGAACTAATTCCCACCCCCCCGAGCGCTTCCCAAATGAGAACAACTTTTGTAACTGCTGCTGCGAAAGAGGGGGGTTCGAATAGAAGGCTGGCACGTTGGCCACGTCGGCCACGTCCCAGTTGTGATCCCTCTTGGGGGAGCTTCTCTGTCTAGGGTGTGCTGCGCCGGGAGTGTTAAGACTTCTAAGACTGCTGAGACTGCTAAGACGGCTAGGATTATTGGTATTTTCTCCTCATCCATCACCTCCACCGCTGCCTGCCACCAATACGGTTGCAACTGATAAGGGGAAGGGACCCACTCGATATGGCTGCGTGGTGGTCCCCTTCTATGGATGTCTGATCAATATTGTTGATCAATTTTTTGAATTCATGAATGGAGTTGCACCTGCATTTGTGCGAGCGAAATGGGAAAAAAAAAAAAAAAAAAAAAATTAAATAAATTAAGTAAATAGATAGATAAATAAAGCCCGTATGAATCCCTTGCAACGGCGCGCTGTCTAATCGCCTAACCACGGACCCCCCTAATCCCTGTAGTACTTCTTCGCGTGCGCGGCGTAGGCCTCAGGCGACACTGCCTCTACGACGATGGGCATAAACCCGTGGAGAGTGCCGCACATTTCGGAGCATTGGCCGTAGTAGACACCCTCCCTCAATATAAATGTCGTCACTTTGTGTAGGCGACCTGGAATGGCATCCGCCTTAATGCCGAGGCTCGGGATGGCCCACGAATGGATAACGTCCGTGGCCGTCACCAGAAAGGAAATATGGGTCCTCGTGGGGAGCGTTAATCTTCTGTCAACTTCTAACTGCCGTAACATCCCAGGCTGCAGATCTTCATCTGTGACCATGTTGGACTGGAAGACGTAATACTTCGGTATTTTTTCTGGGTCTTCAAGATATTTCTGCGGGATGGGGTAATCCTCTGCCTTTACATTCGTCACTTGGGGGGTATCTTGCTCGTTTAGATCCTTCATCAACATGCTGTTTTCGCTGTGGGCCACTGGGCGCCGAAGCCCCAGCGCTCGCCTCAACGTGTCCATTGGATGGAGCAGCGGTTGACCGGTTAGCTAATGAAGCAACTTCGACGGAGAGTGCGTCGTGACGCCGACTTGGCGGGTGCCCCCTTTTTTCTAGCCTTATGATGTGCACTCTATTCGAAACGTTTCCTCAATTTCACCTTCTTCAGTACTCTTTCTGAATCGGCCGCTAACACACCCCTGGAACACCTCTCAAATAAGTTAGCGGTGAATTCGGCATAAAGGCGTGATTATTCTTTTGTATACCTGTGCGGCCTGTCTCTGCGATGTATGCTGTACAGCCCAGTCGTTTCTTTTCCACTATCCCCCTTCTTGACACCTTCGCGGAGGGTTGAAGTTCTGCCGGGGGGGTTTCGTCCCCCGTGGCAAAGCGATTGGGAAAAGAGGTTAAGGTGAGTTCACGTGTATCGGATTAATTTGCTACGCGTATATTGTGTAAGCATGTACGTACGTATCCATGTGCATATGTATGTATTGTTGCATTTGTCCGCGCGGCTGACCCCAGGAAGAACATTTCGCATTCCCACGCTGGGGCGCACAAGAGGCAAACACTCTCTGCCTAACTGTTTTGTCGCAAAAATTCAGTTCAACATGAGAGAAAAAAAAAAGAAAAATCCACCTGACCAGTGGTGCCATTCATAAAGTTGTGTACTATTTTTTTTTTTTTTTAAATTTTCCCAACGATGGAGTATTCATTGACAAGCGCGCCCAGGCGACTCTCACATTTGCGGCACCTTTGTGACCCTCTTCGGAAAAAAACACCGATATGTAATGAGGGATGACGAACCACATGGGCGTCGTGACCCACCCCACATGTCATAAGTTGCCGTGAAAGGAGAGAGAGAGAAAAAAAAATGAATCCTATTCGCACAGAGAAGTATATATCTCATGTGGTGTCCCCTTCGATGGGGAGATAAGAAAAGGGGAAAGGGGGCACACAAAAAAATATACCGCTGGGTTAGCAACAACAAAGGATAGGAGGATAGCAACATAACTCCCCCCGTGTGTCCCGCCCCACAATGAATAAACTGTGAAGATGGGACATCCCTACTGCGCTGCTTACCAGGTCAAGCCCTTTTGCGCGAGTCCTCTTCATGCGCACAGGTATTACAATGTACTAAGGGAGAGGTCATAAACAGGGGAGGGGGCGGGGTAACACACAGGATACCTCTACACACTGAGAAGCGCACACCTGAGAGAAGCCCTTCTACGCATATCGTCTCAGTGGTCCAGCCCCAGTTTGCCCGTTTGACGACAGATTCACAATATCCACAATGAGCAATGAATGGGGGTATTTTTTCCCCCTTCTCCTCGCTCTACGGCTTAAACTTCTTGCGATAATTTAAAAAGGCCCTTTCAACGTGGCTAGGCAGAGGGAGGTCCACGTAGAAAGGTTCTCTTCCTTTGATCGGCCCAGCCAGCATGGGTTCCCCAAACTGTTCATACCTTTTTATCAGTTCTGGGTCTATCTGGATTTCTTCCTCGTCATCTCCTTTCCACTGCAAGAAGGGGTAGCAAAAAAAAAAAAAAAGAACGCGTTAAAAATGGGCAGCGGTGAAATTAAAATGTTGGCCGGCTTGGCACACACCTTTGCGCGGCGGAGCACCCCCAGATAGTCGCTAATTAGAAGGGAGGTCTCCCTTTGATTTATTTTATTTTTTCCTATTCATTTATTTATCTCTCATTTATATATTGTTTTATTTTTGTTTCTTTCTCTTACCAAGTCCCGTTTTGCATGCTCCTGCAGAGTGTCAAAATTCACGTCCGAAATTAGCTGATCGTTTTCATCAAGCAAATTAAACTTCTTTGCGATGTGGAAGTACTGCTTAAAATTTCTTCGGTTCTTCTTCATCTCCTCATATATGTATTTAATTCTGTCAGCTCCGACCGGCTTAGCTGGTCTTAATTCCCCTGGTCTATCAATAAACTCGATGAATGCCATAGGCGCTGCATCCCGTAATCGCAGCCTCCACTGATTAATAACTCTTGTGAAAAAAAAAGGTCTATATCGATATAACGGCACATAATATTCGTACAGCTTTCTCCTCCCTTGTGCTGTTCTCAACATACTTTCCACTTTTAAATTATTCTCCACATTGTTTTTCTTGGCCAGATAAACTAACTCTTCTGCATACCCCTGCAATTCCTTAGCTTTGGTTAATGTCGTTTCAATACGCCCATACTTTAACAATTCATTCAGTTGATTTTTGATGCTGTCCCATTTGTGATGAGGCTGTTTGTGGGCCCTCCGGAAGAGTCTCCTCCTAACACCGAGATTGACAAATTTTAAGGTAGAGGTGTATCCCATGCTTTTTCTTTTTTTCTCCACCAATTGTGTGTTTTTTTTTGCTTTTTTTTTCCCCCCCTCTCAGCTATCTGCTGTGGTGTGTGTTATCCGCCTGAACGAGTCATGCGGAAAAGTGGTCCCCCTGTGGCTATTCGCCTGCACGGGTCATGCGAAACGTGGCACATTTTCTATTCACCCCGTGGGGAGCCATAAACGCGTCCGCAGCACACCTCCCCGTGGCACATATTTTCCCGTTTTGTAAATATAAAGCTGTTCTTTTAAAACATTTGTGTGATTTTTCAGCTGGTGAGCATACCGAAGTTATACATCTAAGCATACATATACATATGTGGAGTTTTTTTTTTTCTTTTTTTTTATTTTCCTCCAACTGATTACTCATGGCGCTTTTCCATTGATTGGAAGTTAACGATAGGATGAATGCATATCCATTGATCGCTAAGCTTTCCCTTTTGTAGGTACAGTTTAGTGGTACTTTAAAAAAAATCCACACCCGAGGGAACATCGCGAGAAGGCCGTTTTACTGCAAATCGGTTAACACAAAATGAGAGAAACGTTTCTTCCCCTTTTACCCAACTGGACCGCAAAAAGTAGAATCGACTTCCACAAGTGTAGTAACTCTGCCAGGGTGCGCACAGATGGGCGGTTAAACCTTTTCACGCGGAGAAGGAGAAAAAAGGGAACGCCCCGGTGCCCTGATAAGGCAAATAAAAAGCAGAAGAACCAGTTCAGCGGAACAGTAAAAATGGAACATCGTACACTGATGTAATGATACGTGAAGTTAAAGAGGATTTTCCCCCTCCTCCCAGGAAAAAAAAACTGAACAAATGAGTCACGTTTTCAAGTATTATAAAAGGGAAAACAAAAGCAACTTAACTGAGCGTAGTCTGCAAATTGTGTAGTTGATCTGAGAGAAATAGTGTACCCCTTTACTGCATAGAGTACACCACGTGAATGCTAAACGGTTTGCAGAAAGGAAGAAGCTGACTTAGTCCAGTGTGTGTCGGAGCGCTGCCGTGATATCGTCGTCCGTTGTATATGACTAGCCGTGTCCCTACATGGGGACACAAACGTGCGAATTGTAAAGCGGACTTGTTTTCATATAACCGAATGGTACTTTTGTAGACATGCCGAAATGGGGAAGCACGACATATTGGCGTCGGAGGGGGAGCAAGCGGACAAACAGAGTGGGGCAAGTAGGACGAATGGGGCGGACATATATTCCTACAAAGCGATGACGCACAGGGAAGGCATGTTTCAGTTCCGCATCCCAACCAACACAATCTATCCTCTGAACTGGGTAACCCCATTGCACGAAGGTGCGAAACGAGCATCTTCCATTCAGGGGGGGCACCTAAAAGGGGTAAACATTATGTGGCGAGTGAAAGTGAAAGAGAAATCCTTTTTGTGTTGAGTCTTTTTCGCCATAACATAGCCAACCTGTTTAAGGATGTCTATTTACAAAACTGAGAAGCAGGGAGAGTCTCCCGCACATCATTTTGGCAGCGCTCCGGTTGTCCGGAGGACTTTACCCGTTTTTGCAAAGTGGCGACACTTTTGTCATTCCCAATCGTTGTCCTTTTTGTTTATCGCATACGTGGAGGTGAAATAAAAAAAAAAAAAAAAAAAAAAAAAGAGAAGAAAAAAAAAAAAAAAAAAGACGTCCCTCCCTGAGCTCATTGGCGCAGCTATAGTCTCGTGAAAAAAAAATTACTAGCCATTTTGCAAAACGGAAAGGTACATCTCTGCACAAGTTGCAAATGATTCACGTCTGCATCTTTCCGCCGTGTCCGCTTCACATTTTGAAGTTCGCCACACGAGTGTGGCACGTCTGGAAAGCGCAACTGGGTGGAGAGAAAAAAACAGCGTTAGTGTCTTTCTTTCCACAGTTTCATCCGCGCTCCTGTCTGCGCCCCTGTCTGCCCTTTTTTCCGTATATTCATAATCCCCCCTTGCTCGTGCATTGTCGATGCCGTCTCGCGCGAGGCCAATCGGCATCAGACGCGCAAAGGTAAGAGAAGCACAACGAGCATATGCATATGCATCTTCCGTTTGCGTGTATATAGCAAAATAGTTTTCCCCTAATCTTTTTTTTTTTTTCCCCCTCCCCCGTGGAGAATATCATAATAGTGAAGAGTGAAAATTATGAATGCCCGATTTTCACCTCCTGTTTTGCTCTTTTCATAGTTATTTTTTTTACTCGAAAAAAAAAAAGACAGTGTCAACTGAGAGGGAGGAGGCATGGGTCACCATTTGAAAAGACGCCACACGTACATGTGTATAAAGCGCATATAGGTAAACAATTGAGTAGGCCATATGAGAGAAGCCGCTATGTAACTCGACGCCTCCGTTGTTGTTTTAGGGGTAGACATCACGGTAGTGTTCTTTTTATGTGCATGGGTGGGGTGTGTTATGTGTGCATACCTGTAACGTCAGCTTTGTAGAAGAGTACGAACAGATGCAAAGGATATGAGTCGTGAGATTACTCTCCACGGGGTGGAAGCATCCCAAAGTGGAGAGTCTTCGCAGTGCAGGGATAAGTACAAAAGAACCCCTCCTTGGCACCCTTTTTTTTTTGTAGATCATCTGTCGATACAGCTTCCAATTTGAGTTTTTTTTTTTTTTTTTCCATTTGGTAAGAAACGCGAAAGGGGAATAGACTGTCCGCGGTGTGGGGGTGAACCAATTGATTGGCAGGGTCCGCGCGGTTTGTACGGTGTGCGTTATCTGTGCCAACACCGCGACTGCTACACCCCCCGTGCACACTTCCCCTCCCACGTAGGAAGCGGTCCACCAAAAGGGCTCGGTAAACACGGAGCGCGCGCACGCCTGGGCCCGCAGGAATTAACTGTGTAATATGAACAGGGGAAAAAACTCTCCAATGGAGTACCAAGAGACGATGAACGAGCTGGGGGAGGACATTGAGGATGTGGAAGGCACAAATCTAAACCGGGTCGGGGCAAACGGGTGTGCCGACATAGAATCGGAAAAAGGTGACAAGGCAGGAAATGCAGTAGATAAGAAAGCAAATCCGTTTGACAAGGAAGCAGACGCGGCCAACTCAGCAGATGGAGCAGACGTAGGAAGCAGCCCGCACAACACCCTCTACAACTACCCAACAGAAAGTGTCCAGAAAATCCTAAAGACACATTTAGAAGATTACCTAAAACAGTTGGACTTCTACAAAAGTAACCCTAAGTGTAAAATCGACCCAACAGTCTACCTAGAAGGAACAGAGGAAGTGGAGAATTACATCGTGAAGGAAAAAATACTCATAACAACATACTACCAGTATATCGATGTGTACGAAAACTCCATCGATGTAGAAGAGGATCTAGAAAGAGAAGAAATCGTCTACGTGGAGGTTCCGAAGTACGTCACTAAATATAACCCCAAGGTCGTAACAAATTATATTGAGAAAACGATTGAGGTGCCAAGTGGAGAGGAGATTAAAAGGCCTGTCTATAACAAGGTGAATGTACCTTACGTGGTTCCACATGTCGTGGAAAATGAAACACAAGTGGTGTTAAAGAAGATTGTCCAGCCAGAGATCCACACGTCTAATGAAGAGATAGAAGTAGAAGTGGAAAAATATGTCCCCCGTTTAGTCCCAGTCAATGTGTATGTCCCTCGATACTTTGGATTATCTGCAAAGACGACGGATGAAGTGGAGCAGTCCGTTAACTATGTTGACCTGACTCAGGAACAGACAGATTACCTCATGAAAGAATTGAATCCCCATTTGAATGAGCTAAAGAGCTTCAACGAGGCACAACTGAAACGAATGGATGAATGCATTCGCGAGTCTGAGGAACAGGCCAGGAGTCACGACTTGGACCCCCCGCAGCCGGAACTCGTATTATACGACTTGGACGGAAACAGCCACACCCTCGACTACGGTGACTTCTCCCAATTTAAGGAGACCTGCCTGAGGGAACTGACCTGCTAGAGGGGCGAAGAAGTGGTTACTAGGTGCTGCTGTGTAACACCTAAGGGGGCACCCCGGAGCTATCAAGTTACCTCCCCAATTGGGACACACAAAGAGGCACAGAGAGGCACACACAGAGGCAGACACACAATGAGCATTTTTTAACCCCCCTTCTTTGTATCCACCACCCATGTTGCACTCGCAAGGAACTAACGGTCCATCGTTAAGAAGCTTTTTGACGCTCCTTTCATCACTTTCCTGTGTGTGGTTCATCGTACCGGGGGGGGCCGTACACCGTATTATGTTGCGATCTCTAAAAATGTACCAATGTGGAGGAGTCCACCCCCATGCTGCGTTTTTGCCCCGCGTGGTAAAAAAAAAGAAAAAAAAGAAAAAAAAAACGTGCCAATAGATGCTCAACCATTTGAACTGAATAAGTTTATAAAAACAAAATTGGAACCACAACGTGTGGGTCTAATCGATGGGTTCGATTTCGAAAAAGGGAAAGCCATGCAGTGGGTACAGCAGTTAAGCAGTTACATGGCGGGGAAATACAAACGCCGGTTTGTCACTAACGGGTTAAACGAAACGCAACAAAAAAAAAAAAAAGAGAGATGCGATTGGAAAAGGTAGCGAATGAATGGGACATACATCAGCGGGCGAATAAACAGATGCAAGGGTGCGCACCTACGCATCGTCAGTGGGCCTCGGCCTCACTAACGAGAATTCAAAGAAATGCAAAAGGATGGGCAAACAGGGATGGGACAGCCAAAACAGGGCTCCAACACAAGGAGTGATGGCACGGATATGCTGACAAGGGTGATGTGGATGATGATGAGGATGACGATGAGGTCAAAGGGGAAGGGGGGACGAGGTGCGCCACAACAAAACGGACATTGCTGCCGTGACAGTTTCTGAGTGATGGTTTTCTCCTCACTCCTTTTGCTCCCCCATTTGTCATGACCGCTTTGTCACACAGACACCTTCCCACGACGTGGAGATAAATCATTCGTATCCACCGTCATGTGGGGAGGAATTTAATGAGTGCCACCACTACCCAGGGGGTAACCCTAAAAAAGAGAAAAAAAAAAATACACACTCCAATAGGGTCAGATAAATTATATCCAACCGGGGTCAGAGAAAAGGGAATAGGGTTACCCCTTTGGGTAAACTGCGCCAGGAGAAGCGTCCCAACAGAAGCATCCCAACAGAAGCGTCCCAACAGAAGCGTCGCATCGGGGTGAGTGACATCGCCCCGTTCGTCCCCTGCTAGGCGCACAACGGAATTGCATTCCCTTCGCTGGATAAGCGTGTTTGTATTCCCTGGCACGCAGTTTCTACGTCATTAGAGGTTTGAAGAGGTTCACTTTTGTTTTTTCTTCTTTTTTTTCTTCCTCTTCCTCTTCACCGCGTGGACATCTTCCCCTTTCCCGTTACACATTTCCAAAAGGAGAAGGTAATAAAAAAATTTTCCTTCTTCCTCTGCCCCAGGTTCTTCAACACGGTGCAGATTTGGAGGTTCCCCTGTTGAGTCTGACTTCTCTTTTGAGCAGAAGTCACACTGGAGACGTACTCCGCGTAATTAAACTGCTCAATTATATTTTCATCCGCATCGCCATCTCCCTCCCGATCCTCCTCGTCCTGTGTCACAATATCCATTACAGACTCCTCATCACAACTGGGGTGCACTAAAATGACATTTCTATTTAGAAGAAATAGCTTACACACCTCTTGGCAGTGGAAAAAAAGAAACTCAATTAAACTTCGGCAGCCAAAGTGGATAGGATTTAACACCTCCTGAAACTTTTTAAAAAATTTATCCTTAAAGGAGCAGAAGAAGACGATTTTTTCTCTACTTCCTTTTAGGAGCTGATCGATTTTCACTTTAGCATCCTCGGCGGTTGGCACTAGGGGGACTCTATCGCACTTTTCCGCGTTGGAACTTCCTCCCCCGTTTTGAAGCGGCGTATAAGCATCGCGGCAGGGTAAAGAGCTGTCACTGTAAACCGCATCAGCGTCGCTGCAAATCGCATTAGAGTCTTCCCCTTCCATGTGCCTTTTGACCATTCGTATAAAGGGCGCCTCCTCGATCTCTCCCCCCTTTGTCTCTTCCCTCGCGGGCCCCTGCCGTTCGGCGCAGCGGAAGTTGAGCTTGTGGGGGGGTTCCTCGGTTAGGAGGCCACTCCAGGGGGGGCTGTCCACTTGGCCGCTCACTTCGGCGCTCTCTTCGCTGCTAGCGTTGCTGCTAACCTGGCTGCTAATTTTCCTGTCCATTTTGTCGCCAACTCCTGTGCCAACGTCCGCGCCAACTGTTGCGCCACCCCAGACCGACGCGGCCACCCCCTTGCAGCAGCAGGCCGGCTTGATCGCCTGACCCTCTTCGTGCAGCAGCCCACTGTACAAGCCGAGCTGAACGATATGTGCTATTTTTCCTACAGAATAGTGGCTGAGGAAAGGGAGGCCTCTCTTCTTCAGTCCCTCCGCCGCTTTGTATATGTCGCTGTCTAGTTTCCAGGGGGGTTCCGACGCGATTGCCGCGTGACCGATTGTCGCTTGACTGATTGCCGCTTGACCGCTCCCCGCCTTGTCCTCCTCGTCGCCCAAAATGGACCGATACAGATCGACGAGAGAGCTCTCGACTAGCCGAACTACAGAGTCATTTACACGCGAGAAGTAGGAGAAGCTGTCGTGGAGGAAATTGAAGATGAACAATCTCATGGGGCTTCCAGCATGTTCACCATGTGGGGCAGTACCGGGTGGAATAGCCCTATGTCCAAACGCATCATACGAGGCGGCTTCTTGTCCAAACGGGCCATCCTGTCCGAAGAAACGGAGCACCCCCTCCAGAGTGTCCGAACTTTGGAAAAATAAGTGCCCCTTCCTCCACAAATGCTTAGCAAACTGTACCGCCAGCTGACTCTGAGGGGAAGGAGACTCCCCCCCCGCTCCGGCCCTGCACGCTTGCAAAAGATGACGGGCGAACTTCCTCCACATCGTCTCAGGATATGGGTTAGCAAAACTTCGTGTCTTAATCCAGCCACTAAACCATTTGGGAGTCTCCCTCAACAGGACGAAGATATTATTCTTCTTGGACTTAACGACAAGGTACTCATTTTGCAAAGACAAGCATATTTCTAAAAAACTGTTTTTCAGTTCCACATTCTGATGGAAGCTTCCCAGCCGTTGTCTAATCTTCTTGTAGGTAGGCTTGATCTGGTCTCTGTACAGAGTTAAGATTGTCATGTGGAGAATGAATTTCACTTCGTTTGTAATTTCTTTTGGGTGTCTACTTAGTCTTGGCGACGTTATTGGGATGAAGAAGTTATTTTTTTCTCTTTTCCATTTACTCAGGGAAAGGTTACACTCCCCGGTAGGGGTCACTGAGTTCATTCTCGGCTCCACTTTGGAGTCTCTATACAAGTAGTGCTTCATTTTGCTATCTGCTTGCTTTTCTTCTCTTTGAAGTTTCCCCTGAGGGGGAAGGTTCTCCACGTGATCGGTTTCATCCCCACTGTGAGGATTATTCTTTACTTCCACGTTGTCTCTACTCTTCTGTTTATTCATCCCCCGATTATCGCTACTCCTCTCTCTATTCACCTCCACCACCCCCGAGTTGCATTCCCCTGCCTTCTTCGTCTTCCCTACACGGGTTAAGTTCGCAGTGGTGATAGTCACCTCCTTAGCTCCTCCAGGGCTCTCTCGATTTTGGCCATCCACGGCGGGTACTACTTTATCCTCCTTGGATGTGTCACGTCGGTTCCTTTTTTCGGCGTCTTTCTGCATATCACCATTTTCGGCGCCTCCCCAACTGCGCCTATCCGCCATCTTAAAGGCGGGATATCTGAGTGGCTCGTAAAACACGTAAGTAACCTCTTCAACATTCCCCCTTGTGCCATCCTCTCTACAATAATTGTAAGTATTGTTTGTCCTCTTGTCCCTCCTTCTGTATAAATGCCCCATGTCTTGTCCTCCAAGCAGAACATCGTTATGTGCGTGGAAAATCCTGCCATAAGGCACATTTTGACCATACAATTCGATTGGTTTACTTTCTTTGCAATTCTTTTGGGGACCCTTTGCTTTTAAATAATGTCCAACGTTCGAGCCGCTCACGTTTCTATTTCTACTTTTGTCGTTATGTGCGTATCCCATTTTTCGTCAAAATCGAGTGTCAACATCATTTTGGGGAGAAGTGGAAAGAGGTTTTTTCCGGGGGGCAAAAAAAAAAAAAATATGAACAAGTCAGGCGAAAAAAAAGAAAATTTGGAAGCGTAAGAAAAGGTGACGACCAAATGGGAAATCATTTTCCCGCCAAGTGGGTCGGGGACAAATATGTTATCCTTTTTCCCATGCAACAAAATTATTACGATCCTTCGGTGGAGTTGACAATCTGTCCTGTCCATTCCATTATGGGAACTTTTCCAGTTTGTTTCCCCCCCTCCCAGAAATGGAAAATAATTCATTTTTTATATGAGTGAAAGGGATTCCTTCTCTCACAATGTTTATCCATCCAGTTTGTTTTTTTTTCTCCTCCGTTGCATATATGCCTTCCCCCCCACACACATACGCCCTTATTGAGTTTTCACGCCTCAACTGCGAATCCGTCCCAAGTGCCTCTTCCCGTTTTAAAGCTTCTCCTCTTCTGAACAGAGTCACGTGACATGCAAGTCATGTCCCCTACGTGTTGTGGCCCTTTCGAGAGTAAAAGGTGGCATTTTCCCTCTTATGTGTCTGAAAATGTATAGTTTTTTTTTTTTTTTTTTTTTCTTAGGATGAGCAGCACTCTAGCATATATGCTTGCTCATGTGAGTCATCCTAATGGTGTTGGTGAAGCTAAGATGCACTGCGACGTGGAACAATCACGTCTATGTGTATACTTCCGAGGAAGTTCCGTGCAAATGTCCAATGTGGCATTCACGAATGGTTTACATAAGTCTCTTTTGAGATGGTTTTACTCGGAAATATGTGGGTGTGTGTGGGGAGCTCGCCCTTATCCAAATGGTGGTCGCTACTCAATAGGGATTGGTCCCTTCGTCTTTATCATGTATAATTGAACTGTTTATGCAAATAGGAAGTCTTCGTCCGTTGTTTTTTCTTTTTTTTATTTCAACCATTCGTTTCTTTTTTTTTCCTTATGTCTTTATAATTGGTACATCGTCGCGGACAACATGGGGTGCTTTATTATTTATTCTCCTTGTGCTTCCTTCCCTCCTCTAACGGTCTTCTTCTTTCACTTGCTCAAATTGGCTTCAACATTTCTTCGTCTTATGCATGGATGTACGTTCGTACACATGCATGCTTAATTTTCTCGCAAATAAGAAACCTTTAATGCAGATCGATCAGGAAAGGGTTACGGAGCTACAAGTGCATCACCATTTGGCTAGTTCTGTTGTTTCCAGAACGATGCGGTTACTCTATGCTAGGCAGAAAGGGAGGGAATGGAAAAATGGAAGAAACGAAAACAGGAAAAATGGCAAAGCGCAAAAAACCCAAACGAAAAACAAATTAATGACAGTAGGGATCACTTCGAGATGCTCGTTAGAGCGCCCGTCATTTTTATCTAATGAACAAAAACGTGCGGACTTGTTCAGGTAAAAATATTCAAAAAAAAACAGATTAGAAAAAATGAAGAAAAAGGGATTAAAAAAAATGAAGCAAAACGGATTAACAAAAATGGATTAAAAAAAAATTCAAATTAAAATTTTTTCAAACGCGTAATTCCCCAAATTTTACACGTTTACCCGAGCGGTTGTTCGGTTCACCAGCGCGCAGTGACGGAAATGAGTTGGAAGGAGCTGCGGGATATTTGTAGAATGGAAAAACAGACGCCCCGGGAGTCTTGCAAATAGTCCACATATATATAATGCATGTCGCCCGTCCATAGGGGAAAGCGCTACGCGCGCACAAGCAAATAAGCATTAACATGACCCACTACCAGGCGCATAATTATATATACTACATTTTCCGACTCTCGCGCGACATGCATTTATGTGCTTAAGGAACGATAAAAGTACATGATATATATATGCCGCGCTTTGCCTTGCACCTATAAAACTATGCCCTGAGAAAAATGAAACGCGCGCGCAGTTAAAGCATAGAGCGAAAGCACTGCGCCGATTTTCCCACAACTGAATTGAATGATAATTTTTTCTTGTAGAAAGTATCGCCAGCACGACCTGGAAAAAAAAAAATACGCACAACCCCATACCGTGGGGGATGCTCCAAAAAAAAAGAAAGGAAAAAGCATAGCATTCATTATGTATAGATGCGCCCCACGTCGGAAAGGCAGAAGAGGACACAAAAAAAAAAAATAGAAGGGGGAACAATATAACCAATTTGGTATATGGCCAAATTGGTAACCTGCAGAATGGCTAGCTCTTTTCTTTGATATTAAAAAAAAAAGAAGAAAAAACCTGAACAGGCAAGGTAAAAATCGCATTGTAGTTTAAAAAAAAAAAAATATATTAACGAACAGGCAAGGTGAAAAAATGGGAGTTTACAAAAAGAACAAGACGAAGCAGCACAACAACTTTATGGGGAGAAGCTTAATGCGCAACAAGTTGTTACAGAAGGAAATTTCGGACAACATTTTATACTCAAAGATAGGAAATGATGAGGACAAGAAAGTGAGCAAACATATTTCCTTTTTGGATAAAGCCCCCCTTGACGATTATTTGGATAACCAGCTAGTCATTAACAGCGTTCAAGTGAGCAAAGTCTTTATACAGAAAAATGAAATAAAGGAAAAAAAAAGGTTAAGAGATAGGGACAAGGGGAAAGATTATTTGGAGATTCAGAACATCATTCTGCCCATACCCGGCAGACCATTTCTTTTGAAGCACCAAGACAAGGTGAACATAATTCTCCACGAGAGGGAGAATGCGCCAGCCAAGAAGAAGAAGAGGAAAAATGTGAAGAAGATTAGCTTCCTGATGAGCGGCAAGAGCCTCATACCGATTAACGTGCGTAGCACGAAGGGGGAGTCGTCGCGGAGGAGGGCCCGGCATGCCAGGACGGCAACGAACGGTGAGGTGTGCGCGGATGGGAAGAGGGAGGTAGACGAGGAAGCAGCTGCAGAGGGGGAAGTTGCGGAGGAGGAAGATGCGGAAGAAGACGCAGATGCAGAGGAACACTCCGCTACGGAGGAACACCCCGATGCATTTGAGGGGGAAGCCCCGCGGAACCTCAGATACATGCGCATGTACGAGGCGCTCGGGGAGAAGTACAAGCGGCTGAACGTGCAGGAGGTCCTCAACAAGGAGAGTGTGGACAAATACGAACTGGAGCATTTCGTCGAGTGGAGAAAATTGCTTAGCATCGTGGAAGAGGAGGAAGGGTACATAATCACACCCTACGAAAAAAACATAGAGTACTGGAGACAGCTATGGAGAGTGATCGAGAAAAGTCACCTCCTCATGTACATTATAGATGCGAGGAATCCCATCTTTTTCTACTGCCAGGGGTTAGAGTATTACATTAAAAAGGTAGACCCCAGGAAAGAATTCTATATCATCCTAAATAAGTCCGACTTTCTGAGCTATGAGGAAAGGAAAGAATGGGCAGCCTTTTTCCAGCAGAGGAATGTGAAATTTATTTTTTTTTCTGCCCTGAGGGAGTTATATCACCAGAATAAGGTCACCATTGAGGACCTGCCCCTCCCTCTAGAGGCGTATACCAATGGGATGTCCTCTCCGGGGGGCACCCAAAAGAAGAAGGAGGAAAGGTCGGCGGGGGAGGGGTCCCAGGTTGCAGCGGAACGGTCCTCCATGGCAGAAGACCGACCATCCACTTCAACAGAACCGCCACCCACCTCAACAGAGGGATTGCCTTCCCGCCAGATGAACCTGTCCCCCCGCCCTTTGCCCCACGAGGAGAACAAAAAGGAAGCCGCCATCGATGTGGGGCACGGAAGCCTCAGCTACGAGGAAAAGAGAAATGACCAAACGGACATATTAAGCACAAACGAGATGGTGAGTTTAATTCAAAAGATAAAGAATCAGAAGAGAGGTGAATACCATGACCTCGAAATAGGAGACCACAATATCCCAAAATTTATGGTGGGGTTTATTGGATTTCCAAATGTAGGAAAAAGCTCCATTATCAATTCACTCGTTGGGGCAAAGAAGGTCAGTGTAAGTAGACAGCCAGGGAAAACAAAACACTTTCAGACCATTCCGTTAAAACGTCATGACTTCTCCCTCTGTGATTGTCCCGGACTGATCTTCCCATCTTTAGTGTTTAGTAAATATGACTTAATTCTGAATGGAGTTTTTTCGGTGGATCATTGCAAAGGAAATTTAATCGATCTTGTTCAGATTCTATGCAATATTATTCCTCATCAGTTGTGTGACAAGTACCGAATTGACAAAGGGCTCATTTGTGAGGTTCTGTTAGATGCAGAAAATGGGAGGGAGAGAAGAATCCATCCTTATCTAGATGCAACTGAATTTTTGAGTGCTCTTTGTTCTTCTAGAAGGTATGTTTCGGGGGGGAAAGGAGGTCTTCTCAATCTTAACTTTGCCACCAGACTTATCATTCGAGACTTCATCACTGGGAAACTGCTCTACAACTTCATGCCGTCTTACCTCGCTCGCAATGCGCACGTGTACCGGTCGGCCGTGTCCCCCGGAGAGTTGCTCGAGGCGTCTACAAGGGTGGACCGGGATCACTTCTCGCAGGTATGCTGAGGCGACTATCATGTGAGCTGCTCATCCGTAGTGCCGCACACATCTCAGTCCAGTTCGTTTCACCACTAACCTCTTTCCCCCCTGCAGGACCCGCCCGAGCCCGAGGAAATCCTCACCACCAAGAGGAAGTTCCGTTACATGCAGAAGAAGCTCGTCAGGGGGAAGAATGTCATGAAGCACGCCTCCTAAAAGGATTGACCTTTTTACTAACAAGGAAGGTAGAAGCCCCATTTCGCACGTTCTATGCACCGTGGTGAGAGACCCCCTGTTCAGTGTGCATTCTGGACACATCTCCCACCAGAGATATCATCGCTCATCAAATCTACAGAAATAGGACAGCCATCAGTGTGACGAGAATGACGGAGTAGCTAACGTACATGTGTCCTTCACTGCTTTTATCATCTTCCTCTGAGTTTACACTGCCGGGGAAGTACTGATCGTTATAATCGAACATTGCCAGTGGTGCGAAGTCGGACGCGTTCTCCGAATAAAGGTATGGAGATCCAGCTGCGACTGATCCGGATGCGGATGCTCCCGTTGCGAGTGCTCCCGCTGCGAGTGCTCCTGCTGCAAGTGCTCCTGGTGTTGGTGCTGCAGCGGGAGCAGCGCCAGAAGCAGCGTTGCCCAATGCACCTCCTGCCACGTGCCCGCTGTGGTGCCCCACTGCCTGTTCGGACTTGCTAGCTCTCTTGGTGCAGTAGACCTACAAAAAGGGGGGTGAAAACGGTGAATCAAGCAGGGTGAAGAGAGCAGGAAAAAACGTATGTCGACATTGGTTCGCGCGCCTAAGTGTGCAAAGGAGGGTAGAAGTGGGAGCCGTCTTTGTACCAGATAGCTGCTCCCCATGTGGATGTGGCATGTTGTGCCGCCGCACCAATTTACGCAGCAATTTCCCCCCCCCTCTATATCGGATGGCTCACCTGTACACACGAATTGAAGAGAATCTCCTCACAGTTACTACAAGTTAGAATAACTTCGTAACCAGATCGGAAAAAGTGTAGAGGTTCTTTTTTTATGTATTTCATTTTAACAGGAATCTTGAGAGTCATCTCGACGAGAGATTTCTTCTGAAACATTTTTCCATTCCATTTGAGAGGATTCCTGCATGATTTCACGATGATGCTGTTAAAAAATGCTTCCATGTGTATCTTCTGTTTTATTGGCATTATCTTTCTTTTCACTTTGGTAAAGAGATTTCCCGTTTTGGATTTAATTCCAGCGAATCTGCCTCCCTTTTTTGCTTTTCCGTTATGGTTGCCGTGGCCTTTTCCTTTTCCTGCCCCGCTTCTCCCACTGGATTCTTCATCGTCGAAGTCTTCGTTGTCATCGCTGCTTTCGTCCCCTTGGTCATCTCGACTAGACCGGCCGAATAGTCTCCTTTTTTTGCCACTTGTACGTTGACTGCTGCTTGAAATATCCTCACTCTCATTACCGTCATCGTCACCACCCTGCAGTTGTTTATTATTCCCTCTTCGTCTGTTCCATGGAGATCTCCACCATCTTCTCTTCTTCCCCTGGGATTCCTCATCACCGTCCTCATTTTCCCCTCCTCCATCTTCATCTGAATCTCCTCTTCTTCGAAAAACCCTTCTGAAAATAGATTTGAAAAATCCATTTCCGGTTTTGTAGTAGTTTCCCATGGCGTCTCCGTCCAGGTCCTCCTTCACTTGGTAGAACGACTGCGATTCCGCGCTTGCCAGGTTTGCTTCTCCCCTGTTTGCTTCTCCTCTGTTTGCTTCTCCCCTGTCTGCTTCTCCCCCGTGCACTTCCACATAGGCGTACTTATTCACCCCCGCGAACCCCGTGGATCCCCCGCCCTCACTGTCGCTGCCCGTTTCTGCGTCTGAGCTGTAATTGTCCCCTCCCCCTCCCTTCCTCGCGTTGGACGCGCGCATGGACTCATCCTCGTCACTTTCGTCCGCATCCTCCTCATCTTCTTCATCCTCCCCCGACTCGCCTCTCCCGTTTGTCTTCTTCCCTGCATTCCCTTTCTGTCCATTGGACACTGGGCCCATATGCGACGAGGCTCTCCCCCTACTCACGTCAACATAGATCTCGTTTTTATCCTGCACAATCTGAAGCAGCACTTTCACGTAGAAAGTCGCCATTCCGTCTTTCCCCACATCACATTTGTTTAGTTTGTTTTTAAAATACTCCTCATATTTGTTCAGGCTTATTTTGAGCCGTTTGTAGACGATTTTTTCCTTTTCTTCTTTGGACTCAGCGAAGGAATAGTCGTTGGGGTGGGATCTTTCAGCAGAGGTGGATCTGTTCGGAGGTTCGAACGTTCTCCTGTTATATCCCCCCTCATTGATTCCAAGCTGCACATCTGTCTCCAACGAAGTGGGGAAAGCATCCTTCCCTTTTCTCGGCTTGGATTCACTGGGTTGTTCCCTCCCTCCTTTTTTCACCAGTTGATGTAACTCAACTTTGCTATAAACCTGGTTAGACCCTTTTTGAAGAAATGACTTGGTTTCATCCTCTGCATGAGAATTGTCTCCACCTTTGTTCTTCTCATTAGAGGAGTTATCCCCTTTATTTTCACCACGTTTACCTTTCGCATCCGTGTCGTCGTCATCCTCCTCCTCTTCCTGTTCCTCTTCTTGTTCTCCTTCTTCATCTGACTCTTCCTCGTAGCGACTTCCTCCTGCTTTGTCACCCTTGTCCCGATGTTGTGGTTCCCCTTTTTCTTCATCATCCTCTTCTCCTTGTGAGCGACTGCTCTTCTTGTCACTCCCCGATGCGTCACTAGAGGTGGTCTCCTTATCACTGGACGCGTCCTTCCCGTTCTGCTCACCTTTGTTTGAATTAATCACTGGGACAGTGAAATTGTCGTAGGGTTTGTTGTTTGTAAAATCCTCCAAATATGCTTCGTACAGATTTTCGTACCCCTGGAGGGAGGAGTAGAAGCAGATGTTTGAATTCTTCGCGTGGGTTTTTTTGCATTCTTTGCAGATGAATCCGTATAGACACCCTTCTGGATCGCTAGGCGTGATGTTTTTGTAGGACTTGCATCCGGCTGCGTGGCATGTGTGCATGTTGGGTCCCCGTGCCGTTCCCACGGGCGCTGCAGCGGGGGCGACGTGGCTACTGAGGCTGCGAAGTCCGCTGGTAAGTCCGCCGGTCAGCCCGCCAGGCAAGCCGCCACTCAATCCGCCGCTTAACCCCCCCGCCAGCGCATTCCCTATGCTATCCGTTTTGTCTGAATAGACGAAGCTGGCGTATGAGAGGAAGATGAACGTAAAGGCTCTTTTCTTTATGGTACAGAACATGGTCGAGGTGCGGCGGAGTTAGGAGTTCGAAAGGGGGGAAGAGGCACGTATGTAGATACGTAGGTACGCATGTGCAGCTGTACTCATATGTAAGTCTACCCATATGTCGGTTGACCCACATGTCGGTTGACCCACATGTCAGTCGACCCACATGTCAGTTGACCCACATGTCAGTTGACCCACATGTCAGTTGACCGACATGTCAGTTGACCCACATGTCAGTTGACCCATGTACGCATGCCCCCTTATGTACAGAGACCCCCCCAGGCACGCACGACAAGTTCTACACCCTAACGCGATGCTGAGAGTGTGCCTCTCATTTCTGTTAACGCCAAGGCATATTTCACCCCACGCAAGCATCGTATGCACACAGGAAAAAAGGACTGATCGGTATCCTTTACCTTTCTACACAGATTTAGCCACTGCATCTGCGGGGGTGGCAGGGGGTACTCTGCAGGGGTTACTCAAAAGGGACTGCTCCCCAAGGACTACTCCACAGGGCCCTACAAAACGCTGCGCTACCCGTGGATGCACAAACTAGGACATACACTCTGCACTGTTTGGTGAAAACGACGCTTGCCCTTCACCAAAGGAGTGTAGTAACTGCTAAATTTTTATTTAAAAAAGTAGAGAGGTGCCCCTCTTAAGACAGATTAAGTCTAAAAAAGAAACGTCGCGGAGGGAAGGAGTTACACACATGTTGGTACTATCTCCGCATGTGCCCAAATGGTTATACTTCTGCCCCCCCACCACGCACTACCTTTTTTACACGTGTGCACCAGTGCACTTCAGTCAACAAGTGTCAAAAGAAAAATGATGTGTCCACAGGAATGAACACGCACGTGCACATGTAAGTGCATATGGACGGACGAGTGTGAATTTTTTTCCTTTCTTTCCCGTTAACATGAAGGGGGAAAAAAAAAAAAAAAAAAAAAAAAGGCCCACCGATAACCCATCCCATTTCGCACGCTCATACTATGCACCTCTGCTGCACCTGAAGGGGAGGAAAAAAAAAATAAAAATAGAATAAAATAAAATAACATAGTTCGTACCTTCTACCCTTTTTGCAACACTTTGACAATTGTTTTAAATGATTAATTTGGGAGAGGCTTATGTATCCACTGGGTAAATTATTTTTTCTTCTTTTAAATCGTTAAAATGTGCAGCATATGTCAGAGGCAGCAAAGTACGGCGACATGGGTCTGTGAGAAAAACTGCTTTCTCTGGACCGATAGGGCCCTCTGGGTATGTGAGTGTGTCTGCGTGAGTTTCTGCCTGTGTATGTATGGGGGGGGTCAGGACTTATCACCTCAAGAGGGAAAAAAAAAAAAAATACTTCCAATTGTGACCTGCAAATGATGGTAAGGAGGACCAGGGGGGTAGACGGGTAGGAAGAGTCCCCTCTGCCCTTCCGCCCATGGGACAGCTACTCCCGAAAAAGGACATGCATAACGTCGGACACAGAACTATGTCAATCCTAAAGCCCCATTTGGTGTTTCACCTTCCGCGCATGCGAGTACGTTAAAAACGGCGTTGTCAACAAAAAAAAAAATTATAAAGAATAAAATAGAATAAATAACACGACGATCAAATGACAAAAGACAAGTCGTGGGGATGCAGAGGGCGACACACACAGAGGGACACGTGTCGCTCTTAAAAAAGGGGAATCGTGAAACACGCAGTGGCTAATTAAAACGAATTAGGAGGCACGTACGGGGGGCACACGCCCAAAGGAAAACTAATTAACAGGTGTATTGCGTGAGATACACTACAAAAGACAGCACAACACAGTGGAATGCTTTCCCACCTTTCACAAAAAAGAGACGAACGCGACGGTGAGAAGGTACGAAGATGCGGATAACATGGCGGAAGCGAGTGAAAGGATAACCGCCCACGACGCACTGGCACATATTGACACACCCGCAGAGGGAAACACAAAAACAATTCGTTGAAAAGGCAACGTTGAATTATGTGGCGCGCAAGGTGAATTTTTTCTTTTTTTTTTCTTCTTCCCTTTCCCCCGTCTGCAACTCCTCCCAGGGGAAGCCTCTCCATATGCACACACGTACATGTTGCATGTACACGGATGCGCGCTCCAACAGGGGGGTTCGATGCTAATAATGGAAAAGAAATTGTACTCTCCGGGGTGGAGGTGGACTGCTCAGTGGACCCATACACTTGTATGTCTGGTCTGTCTCGCTGAACTGTCCACAGAACGGCCCACAAAACGGTCCACGCAGGGTCTTCTCCCGTTCCTTCTTCCACTCCGCATTAAAAAAAAGAAAAATGGCACAACACAGCACAATGGCGCGTTCAACCCGGATAACTCACAGGGACGCCATTTGAATCCTTCATTCCAAGCCTCCCGGTTCTTTTACTAACAAACGGAAAGAGACTCCTTCCCAACGCACTTTCCATTTTGCACACACGTGAACATCCTCACGGACGTGTCCACAAGGGCGCACGTTTTTTTTTACCTGACCAAGTCAGGTGAATTAAACTCGGGTCAGCTTGGCATTGACCCCCACCCCCTCATCCATTGGGCTTTCCAAAAATGGGATGAAAAAGTCCCTCCACGTTGAGTCACTTTTTTAAATTCTTCTTTTCTGCAGTTGCTGGGGAGAAGGGGAAAGGGGGAAAAGAGGAAAGGAAGATGAGCAATTTTGCTGATATATTGTATGTCCGCGGAGGGCGTTTTTTCGAAGGACTTTTTTACGAGCACTAAGTTTTTGGAGCGCTTCTCTTTCACCTGTGACGTCGTGGCAGGGGGCCCCGCAGAAGTCAATACGTCTCGACGTTTTACTCGCGTCACCCCCTCGCTTCCTCCACTTGACCGTTTCCTTCCTCGGGGGTGCAAGGGGCTGCATTCTGGGATGTTCCGGTTTTATCGCCTTCACGTCGGCCGCGCTGACCAGGTGGTTTCTCACCATTTTGTCTGCGCGAATGTCTACGCGGCTGTCCACGGGTCTGTCTGCTCGCCCGACCATGGGATCTGCCCTCATTACGCTGGCAGTGTTCCCGTCGACCCTTCTTTCCCCCGTACTTTCGCTCTTATCGTTCCTTCTGGTCACACGGACAGAAACCGCTGAAGCGACGGCTTTTCCCTTCTCATTGGACCATTTGTGGAGCTTCCCCGCCGCGTCCTCGTTAGACGCCCTGGTCATACCTTCCCTACTTTCCACTTGCGGGCATCTCATCTCTTTGCAATGATAACCGTGGGGTCCCCTACCCGTTTTGCCCTCACCATCGACCTCATAGTAATGTTTCTCATTCGGGTGCCCAGTTGCATTCCCGTTGTGCCTCTCCGCGGGGAACTCTCTGTTTCCGCTCCTCTTAGGCTGACGCTTGACCGATTTGTTATTGTGGATCGTCTCTGTGGTGGGGCTGGCGTCCTCATTGTTGCCACTTCTTGCGTGGTGTATACTTTGCGTGCTCCTCATTTTGGGGGCACATCTTCCGCTGTGCGGGGTGACCCTCGTCGCGCCTTCGTCCCTTTTGGGCGCTGCGGTTGAAGGTGGCTTCCCCTTGCTGGTGCTCCCAGGGGGGGGAAGCGCCTCCCTCTCTTGGTCCTCCTCACGGGGGGATTCCCTGGACTCGCCACGAGTGATGCCGCGGCCCAAAGGAGTATCTGCCGCGTCAGCGATCGCCGCTTCTCTACCCCCCTCGAAGCTGCGCCCACCAGGGTGGTACTTCTTCCTGCGCATGATGTCATAGTAGACTATATTTCGGTAGAAATTGACTCGGTATTTAGTGCTGTCGTCTACAGGTATGGTAATGATGTGTCTGCAAACAGGTTCGTCAATAATGGAATGGAATTGCTCCACGTACTTGTGTTTCAGAGCATTCTCTGCGCTGATCCTTTTGGTGGGATTGAACTGGAGGAGTTGTTTCAGAAGGTCGAGTGCCTCCACGGAAGCTTTCGAAAAAATCTCAGAAAAATTCTTCCTCTTAATATCAACAAAGGAGGAAATAATCGTGTCTGTAAAGGGGGATTTGATATCTTCCATATCCTTTTTCGTCGGTTTGCCGATCACTTGGATGATTTTCTCTAGTTGGTTCATCGTAGAGTTTCCCCTAAAGAGAGGTCTCCCGAGTAGAAGCTCCGCCATGATGCAACCAAGAGACCACATATCGACCCCTTCAGTGTAGTTGGTACTCCCCAACAGAATTTCTGGAGCTCTATACCACCTCGTAGCGACATAATCGGTTAGGACAGGAATCTTATTCTCACTTAGCTCTGTCGATATGCTTCTCGCCAATCCGAAATCTCCCACTTTGATATGACATTCGGAGTTAAGTAATATATTTGATGGTTTTATATCCCGATGGAGAAGCATCCCTGAGTGAATATACTTGAGTGCTCTCAAGAGCTGATAAATGATATATCTTTTGTGGATTTCTTCCAGCAGATCTGCTTTTATCACTTCGTGTAAATCGGTCTCCATATAATCGAAGACCAAATAAATATCATTGTCATTCTTTGCGTTTATCACGTCCATCAGTGTGATGATGTTGTCATGTCCATTCAGTTGGTAGAGGAACATAATCTCTCGGAATGTCCTCTGCGCATCCGTAGAATTCTGGAATGCACCAAAAATCTTCTTCACCGCCACAATTTTTCGATTCCTTTTACACTTGGCCTTGTACACTATCCCGTAGGCTCCTTTTCCTATTTTCCTCACGATGTCATATTTCTTGAGGACACTTTCGTCTATCTGCTCGTCTTTGCTTTGCTGTCCTTCCTTCTTCATCTTTCGCCCAGGGGGGGTAGCGGCAAAGCGGCGGAGTGGGAGAGTGGCTGGGAAGGAGGGTGGCAAAGCGGCGGAGTGGCAAATTGTCCCACCCCCCCCCTGTCCAGTTCGCCTAACCCAAAAAAAAAAAAAAAAAAAAAATGCGGAAAGAAATTCCCGAGTGAGTTATATACCTTTGGGAAAATTGTCGGGCATTTACCCCCTTGACAGTTTATTCACACAAGAGAAAACCCTTCCTGTGTGGCCTGGTTGCGATACTGCTCGGAGGGAATCAACTTAGGACAACTGTGCTATGTGTGACTGCTCCTGTGTGTGTGTTTCGGGTGGGTAGTAACACGTGGTCGTAAATCAGGTGAGGAGCAAAACCGTTATGGCAACTTTTAACCTCCCCTTGGCGAGATGAAGGATATGCCCCCCCTTTTCTCACTTCCTCGGCGTCGCCATGAAGTGGTATGGGAGGAGGGGGCCTCTCAGATTCCCCCCATCCTAAACTATCTGCGCAGGAGTACGTAAAATCGCCTACACGTATGTGTGCACTTGGCTTACGCCTCACAATTCTGCAAGAATTTTTGTTGGCTAATTGGATGCCCCTTGCGAGGGAAAAAAAAAAAAAAAAAAAAAAAAGGCAAACATGCCAAGTGGTGAGCTTAAAAGGGGGGTAAAAAATGCGACTTAGCGCGGTAGAGGGGAAAGGCAACCGCGCTTACTGCCCTGTTGCGTGGTTGCTGTGCTGCGGCGCTGCGGGGAGGATAACGCTCTGGGATCGACTTCCCCGCGCAACATGGCATACTAAGTGGATGGCGAGACGAATACGGGTGTGTGTCTGTGTGTGTGTGTGCGTACACGACGGCACGGGAAGGAAGACCAGTTCTGCGCGCATACTATGTACACGTGGCCACTACAACGATACGTAGTTTTGTTATCTTGTCATGTTGCGCTGACGTGCTTTTGCGGGGTTTTACTTTTTCTGCTTCTCTTTTTGCTTCTTATTTTTTTTTTCTTCCATTTTTGCTTCTTCCCTTTTTGCTTCTTCCCTTCTTGCCGTTTCGTTTTTTCCGTGTGTTCCCCCTCTGCACATAGCGAAGGTCCCACCGACGGTTAAAATTTCCTCTCTTCGAAAAAGCTCACACTGAGGAAGCCTTTGCTGTGCTCAAGGGGCATGATTGCGTACGTACCTTTTGCGTATGCCCGCCTCCATTTTTTGCGGTAGCGTGCCTTTGCTTTTTTACCTGACCCGTTCAGGTAAAATGGACGAGGTAGCAAAAAAAAAAAAAAAAGAAAAGAAAAAAAAAAATTCACCTATATGCCAATTTTACAGGTTTGCAAGTTTACAAATTTACAATTTTACAATTTTACAAATTTACAATTTTGCGATATACAGGTTTGCAGATTGAGAGACTCACAAATGGCTAGTTCACCCCCGATTGCGGCGCGAGCGGAGTTAAACACGACTGGGTGAGGAGTGAAAAATTGCGCAGAAGGCAGCAAAGCCGAAAGGAAGTGACACAGAGACGCAGTCACACAACCACTTAAAAGCTTAACGGCTTAACCACGGGGAGGGAAGAAAACGAAACGACGCGCGCGTCGGCACGGAGCCGCTAAAGAAGCATTCCTCAGAGGAATTGCGGCTTGTGTGCAATTTTACCTGCGCGAAATTAATCGCTCCGTCAGATCCCTCTTCATTTGCAAAGGAGCGACACATTTGTTTTGACCTAAAAGTCAGTAAAGGAAGGAAAAGAAGAGGAATTCAATTCACTCGGTGTAGTTTCACATATAGGCTCACAAAGTAGCTATGTAATTTTTTCTTTTCTTTTTTTTTTTTTTTTTTTTTTTTCCCACGTGGTGAACTCCCATTGAAGAGAAACCTCCCCAATTTGGTGTGCCACCAGAAGGGGTCTTTCTCTCTCCCACGAAACACACACACACAGACATACACACCCAAGTGTCAGTCCTGCATATTATACCTACATCGCGCTGTGGCCAATTTGAGGAGAAAAAAAAAGAAAAGGAACAGCCCAAAAAGCATCTACACGGAAAAAAAAAAAAACCAAAATGATCAATCTCAGGAGAGAAACGAAATTTATTCTCAAGCTGCGGAGGAGCATGGGGCACTGCACATCTCTAAATAATGGGAAAGGAAAATGGACAGTCCGTTCCGGAATGACGAGCCACCACGCCGTCACAACGAAACGACACCTAAGCATCCACGAATATTTGTCAATAAATCTGTTGCGAAACAATAAGATTCCATGTGCACAAGGGTACGCAGCGAAAACTCCAGAGGAAGCAGAGGAGAAGGCACTGGAGCTGCAAAATCGCTGTGGAGACATCGACTTAGTAATCAAAGCGCAGATACTGAGTGGAGGAAGAGGAGTAGGATACTTTAAAGAAAACAATTTCGAAGGAGGAGTTCACATTTGTCGAAACAGTACAGAAGTGAAAGAAGTAGCGTCGAAGATGTTAGGCAACACATTGGTGACGAAGCAGACAGGAGAGGAGGGAAAAAAGTGCAACACGGTTTTTATATGCGAGCGTTTTTACATAAGGAAGGAAAGGTATGTTGCTTTTCTACTGGACCGAAGTTCCGATGGGATAGTCCTCCTCGGATCATCCATGGGAGGTTCCTCCATCGAAGAAATTAGCAAAAAGAATCCCGATGCTATACATAAGATGAACATAGATGTACAAAACGGGTTCAGTAATGGCCAGGCACGTGAATTTTGTGAAAAAATTGGGTTCAAAAATACCGAGCTAGATATCGCCACAGATGTAATAGCCAATTTGTACAAAATTTTTAAGCGATACGATTGTACGCTGCTCGAGATTAATCCTTTTTCCGAGACGAACGATGGAAGAGTCCTCTGCTGTGATGCCAAACTAAACTTTGACGACAATGCGGAGTACCGACAGAAGGAGATATTTCAGCAGAGGGATCTCTCCCAAGAAAATGCAGAAGAGGTAGAAGCCAAGAAATTTAACTTAAATTATGTTTCCCTCGATGGGAACATTGCCTGCATGGTCAATGGGGCAGGCCTAGCCATGGCTACCTTAGATCTTATCGTACTGCATAATGGCTCCCCTTGCAACTTCCTGGATGTTGGTGGCGGCGCAACGGAGGACGAAATTACAGAGGCGTTAAAAATAATCAACCAGAATGCCAAGGCTAAGGTATGCTTCATTAATATCCTAGGGGGTATCATGCGATGTGACATCATTGCGAGGGGAATTATCAAGGCATGCAAAGATACTGCCTTTGGTAAGCCACTTATAATTAGGCTGGAGGGGACAAACCAGGACGAGGCGGAGCAGCTTCTGCGCCAGTCCGGTATCAAGTGCATCTTCTGCCAGGACATGAACGTCGCCGCGCAGAAGAGCGTGGCCATGGCCAACATCATTGAGACCGCCGCGCGGGTCGACGTGCAGATCGCCTTTACGTGAGTGCGCAACACGCTAGGCATATGTACTATGCAAGTATTTTTTTTTTTTTTTTTTTAAGCGCAAATCGGTCAAACCGCCTAACCGCGCAGAGGTGGCATATATTATTTATACCTCTACCGAGGCGCCGACTTCGCGGTGCTATTAGCGGTCGCCAAAAATACCCTTGCGCCACCAGTGGGGGGGGAATGCCGCGCAGCAGGCCCTGCGCATAGAGGAAGGAAGCCCACAATATATGCGTTACGTGGCACTGTCACAGGTAACGTACTGTTATAGCTAGTAGCATACGCGCTGCATACTTTGTGGAGTTTGTTTGGGGTAAACAGACCCATCCAATTCGGTGCATCTTCGCCCTCTTAATGCATGGCGCGAACTGAATTTTTTTTTTTCCCCTCCGCCGCGGCGGCATAATACAACATTGGAAAAACAATTCTGCCACTCCACTTGCGATGCGCAAAAAAAAAAAAAAAAAAAAAAAAGAAAAGAAACTATTTTCATTTTAATATCTTATTAGTTCCTTTTTTTTCCACTTCGACATTTTGTGTTGAAACTTTTCCACGTTGGTTTTTCTTCCCCGCGCGTTACCGTTTTGGGTTGACCCTCTTTAGGGATTCACGTTCCCCTCGTTACAGCCTGTTCCCCCACCGCTTACCCTTATAGCGTCACATTAACAATTGTGTGCCCCCAGAGTGTATCGCAAAATGCCACGCGTAGAGCTGACTGAGGAGGAAAAGCTGAACATTCAAAACAAGGACCTCCTCTTTAAGAGGTTTGTTGAGCCCGGAAGGCTGTGCCTCATCGAGTATGGCCCCTACGCGGGAAAGGTATGCCCCGAAGCGGCCATTGGCGGTTTTCCCATTTGCAATATGGCAAATTTGCATCTTCACATTTTGTATTGATCTGATCGCTCACTGCCGCTGATCGCCCACTGTCGCTGATCACCCATTGCCGCTGATCACCCACACCTTTCCTTTTCCCCCCCACTCCCAGCTCTGCTTCGTCGTGGACATCGTGACGCTCACCCGAGTCATCGTCGATGGAGCCTTCATCACAGGGTAATAAAAAATAGCGCTATAATGGGATGGACGCCTGTGCAGCGGCGCAGTCGATGTGCCCAACTGGGTGTGTGTCGTCAGGGTATCCCCTGTGGGTGTATCCCCCGTGGGAGTAAACCCCCCCTGAGCGTCATCGCTATGCCTATCCTCATACTTCCCACCCCGCGCAGCGTGCCCCGAATGATCATACCTCTGAAGAGGCTGAAACTGCTAAAGGAAAGAATCAAAATCAACAAAAATTGCAAAACCGGATTCCTTCAGAAGACAATAAAAAGCACCAACATTTTAGGAGAGTTTAAAAAATCCAACTTGGGCAAAAAATTGACCATTAAAAAGAAAAGAGATTTGGCTACTGACTATGAGCGCTTCCAGATATATCACGCCAAGAGGGAATTGAAAAAGAAGATGAATTTGCTCAAGAACAAGAAGGACAGCAGCAGTAAGGGAGACAAGAAAAAGAAGGCCAAGAAGGTTAAGAAGGCGGTGAAGAAGTAGGCATTACAAGTAAAATACGTAGAGGTGGTCAGGCCACCCCTCACCTATGGCCTCTCCCAGGCAACGCCGCTTACTTCCTCCAATGTCCTTTTTTTTTTTTAACTGCGAACTGTTTTTCACCGTGCCGATATTTAGAGAGTTGAAGGAAAAAAAAGCTTAATTGTCCCACGCGCTTGTATCTGCGCAAATCGAAACTGTAGCTTATGGCGCACAGCTTTCTTCCCGGGACGTTTTAAAAATATTTTTACGCAAACGTTTCCACGTGGGTAGTGCAGAGGGAATTAACACGAGGTTGTCACTATGGTTCCTTTGGCTGCTTTGCCTTCTTTGATTAATTTGTTTTTTTCCCGCACCTCATACTTCCTGCATGGGACGGGCAGGCCCCACGTAGCAGATTTGCCAAATCGGAGTGAAGAAAAAAGAAAAATAAATAAATAAAAAAATAAAATAAAACAATATCTTAACAATAGAAAAAAACTTCCAGGGTCTAGATATAGGCACCTCCCTTTTATTTTATTTTATTTCCTATGTTGGCGCTTAAACGTGGCTGTCCACCCGTGTACCACCATTTTCATCGACAGGGAAAGGCTCCAGAGGAATGCCCCCTCGAATGAACTTCCAACCGTGTGGCACAAATGACATCCAGCTAATCTGTTTGCACGGGCAAAACGGAAAGGACAGAAAGTGAAATGTTGTTCCGACGATAAACAATGACTGTTGAGACGTCTCACTCTGTACACGCTTGCATGTGGATAGCGTCCGAATTTTGATGGCAAATTTTTCCTCTTCTCTTTTGATCACTCTGTTTTGCTCAACCTTGCCAATGAGATACTCTTTTTGTGACATCTCACCACCACTTTGTGGCGACAACAGGAAAGGGGCAAACAGAAAGAGGAAATAAAAAGGAGAAAAAATTTTCTACGCACTTTGCCAACCCTCTTACAGTTAGTAGCATGGATTATTCGCCCATTTCGGATTTATTTATTTATTTTTTTATTTTATTTCTTTTGTTCAAAGGGGGAGGGTCATACATTGCTGGGTTGGGAGTAGAAATAATGTCCCCTTTGTCGGGGAAGCGCCAAAAAAAAAAAAAACTGCAGTCACATCGGCACATGCACGTGCAAGGATGAGCACACGAACATTTCTACAGGGGTGAAGCAGCGAAGGGGCGAGGTGCATACCCACGTAAGGGGAATCTCCCGGTGGATTATCCACGAATGAGTGACTCCAAGGCGGTGCGGCTTGGTGGAGGTTAACCGGCCCAGTTCGGTGCCCACGCATGCCTCACCACCACGCATACGTACACACACGGCTGCATGCCACGTGGATACATAACCACACACATAGAACATTCGCTGGGGGGGAGGAAAAAAAAAAAGAAACCAATGATTGCGCTCCCTAACGCTTTCTACATTTGGCACTAGCAATCTCGCAACACAGCTCGTGATAAAAAAAAAAAAAAGGCCCAAGGGGTGTGTATTACCAAAGGGGCAAATAAATTTCCTAAATTGAAAGTGCTTCCCCCCTGGCTGTTCCTTTTTCTTTCCTAAACGAAAGAGGACAGCTCCAATGTCAATCTGAGTTAGTACACATTTAAGGGGTCTTAGAAAACGGACAGCGTCGCAGACGTGTGACGGCCAAGGAGGGGAAACATAACTCCCTAAATCGCCTGACCAAGGTCAGGTTAAAAAATGAACTTGCACCATCGCTGCAAAAAAAAAAAAAATGCGTACACAGAAATGTGTGGAAAAAAATGAGTACAAAAAAATAACATACACGTACGCATACACCTATACGACCATACGCGCGCACACATACCCACACCGATCATGTGCAAACAATTCCTCCCAGGATTTGCAGATTCCCCAGCCCAACGCGCACGAGGCTTCCACTAAGGGGTGATGACACACGCGGATTATTGCCAACCTGTGACTTTACACCCGGGGGTGTGCCAAACCAGGGGTGCCTTTCTCTCGCCTCAAGTTTAGACGCTCAGAAGAGTGACGACTTAGTAGCGTGGAGATATAGAAGCGTGGCAGAGCTCCCTTGGTGAGGTATAGTTTCCGTCACGCGGTGGTCCCAATAGTCTGCGCCTGTTTCACACTTCCTTCCCATGAACCACGGTGACACAGCGAGCAGGGGGGAGTACGAGGCCCTGGTGGAGGGGGCAGACCCGATGCGTAGCAGAAGCATAGGCGCAGACGAGTTAAGCAACATGTACGCAAATGACATCACGTGTGGCAGCATAAACATTGGGGAGGACCCAACTCAGCAGGTACCACTGGGGACGCCCCTAACCTACATCGTTGGAAATGGAGGAGATCACATCGAAGCGAATCACATCGGAGGGAATCACCTCGAAGGAAGTCACACAAAATATGACAGTGCTCAGGGAAGCAAAAGAACACACACAGATTATAAATACGCGGCATACTTTTTCGCCTACATGTTAGTCATCTCCATTTGTATGGTTTGTTACCTCTACCATGGAAACTATGCGCGGATATTATATGGGACAAATTACAATGGGAAAATCTGTGGGAGGGATATGAAGAATCATTCGTATTTGTACTTCCCCTTGTCGCCTAAACTCTCCAAAATGGAAATACTGAACAAATATGGGAAATGTCTGGAGTCGTGTCCGACATCAGATGGGGCGAATAAAATGAAGAAGGAAAAAGAAGGCGAAAAGACAAACCACAGTAACAATGTAGAGATGAAAGAAAAGGCAACTTATTTTGATAACCCTCTGTTCTCCACCTCCTCCTCATCGTACTCCTCCCTTTTTGTAAAAAAGAAGCCGAAACAAATTATGGACAAGAAGGGAAACAAAACAACCAACGTGGTATACAGCGATTACACAAAAAGTACAAACAACAATCTGTACGTGGAATATTCTCTCAGTTCCCCATACTATGATACGGTGAATATTATGAACATATGCTATCCATTGGATAAAGGGTTACGAGAGAAGGTTCTAAATGTCATCTTTACAGATAGATACAATGTGTTTGTTAATTTATTTTCCTTCAACAATTCCTTCGTCTACGTTTTTGTTTTTATTGTTTTTTCTCTTTTTTTATGTATTATCTACTTGTGTTGTATGTACTACTTGTCTTCCCTGACTCTCCACTTAGCGTTGTTTCTTTTCAGCTTCTCCATGTTGTTTTATCCCGTGTACTTGATCCACAAGCATTTGTACCTCCTGTTTCATCCCATTAAGGGAGCCTTTTTTTCGTACCACTACTTAGTGTCAATATGTGTGTGCTTTGGTTTACTAGCTCATGGAGTTATCTTCCTCTTCGTTTTGTATTTGTACAGAAATACATATAAGTACACACACAGGTTAATCACTGTCACTTTGGACTTCGTCAATAGTATGTCCAATCTGCTTTACGCGCCTTGCATCGTTTCGGCTGCTTCGCTCGCGTGGTTCTTTCTCTGGATGTATGGATACATTTACGTCATGACTGCTGGGACGCTTCACGAGCAGAGGGTAATTTTTTTTTTGCCTAGGGCTGAAATTTAAATGCCACACTTTGCCTGAACAGATGGGCAGCGAACCGGCCAGCTAGCTAGCTATTTTTTTTTTCTTCTTCTTCTCTTTTGTGAACATTATTGCCCGTTCAGGTGAAAAGATGCCCCGTTGCGCCGTTCTTCCGAACACAGAACACCAACCTGTGTGCAGGACACAACACACACGTTTCCCATTTTTCTTGCAGCTAAGCTTGGAACTGGACTCAAATGGAAACAGCGAGATTGTGTCCCTGCAGAAGGTCTTCCACTACTTCAGGAGCTCGTACATATTTTCCATGTAAGGCGTGTGCAGCAGAGGAGGGACCTCAACTCCGAACTAGGGCCAGTGCGTGCAGCGTAATGTGCATATATACAGATAGCACATCTGCATATGGCCGTAACTCACATATATATGCCGCCCCCTCCCTCCGACAAACCGTATCGCCTCACACCGCAGATTCTGGATATACACCTACTTCTTTGTGTGTGAAATCTTGCAGTCCCTAAACCAGTTCACTATAAGTTATTTAGGTAGCGAAGGAATGTCGCTCAGACCAAGCGTGGCCAACACGCTTCGAATTTTAAAAAATCCTTCAGCGCGTGTGCCATAACACCCGCGTGCATTTCAATCTCTGCAGGGGCCGTGTGGTACTTCTGCGACAAGAATAGCGTCAACTACAAGCTCAGTGCCCAAGCCACCATGAGTAATTCTGCCCTTCGTAATTTGCGTTCGAAGGAGCCAACCACGCGCGGGATAGACCAGTGCGATGCAGATGTGTGTAGAAGTTGATACACTCACAACGCCCCCCGCTGCCCTCCCCCCCTTGCAGAGACAATACTGAATTACCATTTGGGCAGTTTGATCCTATCGAGCTTTATCAACCTATGCACAAAGCACCTACGCGTGCTGTTCTTTTGGGCGAACAGCACTCTGTCCCTTCCCTTCTTCTATAGCGAGTCGATTTACAAGCTGAAGGAGCGATTCGGTAGGCACCCGCGGTGGGCTCACACGCACACCCATGCGTGAATAAGTACACACATAGGGGAATCCTTCCGTGAATAAGCACACACGCGGAAGTACCTATGCCTCCCCGCACAGCATAACCGCATAGCGCATGTAGGAAAAGCAATACCCCCCCCACTCCGCACTGCAGCCCTCTTCTTAAGACCCATTTCGAATTTAATTGACACGCACACGATGGCTGCATACTGCGAGGTAAATCGGCTCGCCTCACAGGAAACATAATTCCAGGGAGGGGAGCAGAGCAGAGAAAGCTTCATCTCCCCCTTAAGTACACTCCCAAATAATGTGTTGCAGATTCGATCTGCACGAGACCACCTTTTTAGCTCATATCTGCTCCTCCCATGATTGGGGTGTTCCTCTCTTCGCAGATCTCCATGACGTCGTACCCGTACCTACTTGCCTGTAGCACGTCGTCCAAAAAGTTAATAAACTCGACTTCGCCAGCGGCATCTTTGCATGGGGTAGGGAGAACGGGTCTCAAAGGAGGAA